GGAAAGACTGTTCAGCCAGAGACGTTGGTTTTTCTTTTAGTGCAGGGCGCTCAGAAGCGCTTCGAGTTGAGAATTGGTTCAACCTTTTAACCACGGTGCGCTGGGCGCTCGACGAGGGCAGGAGATTCCTTTCCTGAAAGAACAGGCAAAGAGAGAACGATCAACGCCGCGCTTCGCTTTCTCCAATACGAGGTGTTCCAGGCGACAACTGTTCCCATGGCAGTGGTTCTGTTGCAAGCAAACCGGCCTTGGCGGCGCAGTCAGGGGTCTGAGCACCGCATCAGCGGGCTCGCGCGACTCTGGGAGGTCAATGCTGAAGATTCCACTTCTGGTCACACAATAGTTTCCTCTGATATGTGTGACGGCGGTCGATCGGCATCCTGTGGTTTCAATAAGTCGCAATTTCACACGTTCGGGTGCTGTGGCCTTGGCTGCAACAGGCTGGTGGACAACATGTTCTGAAACTGCACGCACTCAGGTGTGAACAGAATGGAGGAGTGGTTGGATCGCCATCGAGTTTTGTTTTTATTTTAGACGTTTAATTGGCACCGACTGTACGTTATCTCACACTGTATAATGTATTATCCAATATCTCAGTGATTGTCACCTGACTAGGGCTGCAGCTATCGAATATTCCATCGATTAATCGGATAAAACACTTAAATTAAACTATAAATATACAATTATTCAAAACAAGGACAGATGACTTAAGGTAAGGGTCCCGAGAATCTTGTTTCCTTTTAAGAAAATTGACATTGGTATTCGTAGTGTATGGCACATATTTATGCAAGTTTAGTAAAACCGTTTCAGTCAAAATTTCCAATAAAAATAAATAAAATTACTTCAAACTACGGTACGCCAGCTCCATCTTTAATGTCCACACACCACGATGTTGTCCTTAATTTTTAATTTAAAATAATCCCACACCTTCAACATCTTCTGTCTCTTCCTCTTATTACTTTCTGGCCCTCTAATGCGACTGCTGACACTACTAAACTTTATATCTTTTTGTCCTCTGGTTTCCAACTTGACGCTGATTATGCTGAAGATAAAGCCTCACAGTCTGTCTCTTCCTCGAGAAGAGGAGACGCTCATCAGGCTGAAAGGTTTACGATGAGTTTGTCCAGCGAAGAGAGTTTAAAGTTAGAGCAGTTTAGGATAATATTAAAATGTGTTCAACAATAAAAGCACGTTGCTCGCAGCTTTTACTTTGACAGCCTGTAGAAATGGAGAACTACCACCAGAGTACCGTTACTGCGTTATCTTCGTTAACGTTCAGAGTCAACAAGGACTCATTTTTACAACGTGTCTGACGGTGGATATTTGAGACAGACACCAATATTGACACTTTGAAGGCTGATAACAATAAACCGAACCTTCCCTTATTTTCATGACTGATTAATCTGCGGATCATTTTCCAGGTTATGAATGAGTCGTTTGGTAAATACTGAAAAAGGAACAGAAGAAATTCAAAGCTCTAAATGATTAAAACTGCTTTGACGGTTCGACCCACAGTCTAATATCCAAACATACAATGTCAGACTGCATTAGTCAC